AGTTGGTATTTTATTATTTTTTTTGGAATAAAAGTTTGACCAATGTATGTTTGACTTACTAGTTGGCTTGCCTAGCTGTAGTGTTAGGCGCCATCACAACCTATAGGTAAAATTGGATCGTGACAGCTATACATCATAAACCAAACTTATAAATATATTAGGAATTATTTATAACTAAGTTTACAAATAACAAGACTACATTTGAAAATAATATAATTATAGTAATAATAAATATAATGTACTTTAAGTTTGTTGAACTTATACATGTTAAAGCTCAAACGCAATCAGATAAGCGAAGCATAGATAAGATACTGAAATTTATATTGAAATTATACTAATAAATGGTATGCATTTTTGTAAGAATTTTAAGGATGGAATAGTAGGAAAAAATGTATTTTAAATAAATTGTCATTTTTTCTCTTTTCTTGCATTTAGTCCAACAAATGACGATGCCTCACTATATTATTTATAATAAACTATTTATTGTAATATGCCAATTCAATCGTAGTCATTTTTTAGACTTTACATTGTCAATATTAATTTTTGGGAGCTATAAGACCAACCTTTTTATTCTCTTTTGTGTTTTGTTTTTAGTATTAGGTCATTAAAATAACAATAATTTTCATAAGACAACATAAGTTCTCATAAATCACAATAAAGCATCTAAAAACTTATGTCATCCATTATTTCTTCATTTATTCAGTTAACTAATAAATGGGAACAACATTCAGGATTTTCAAGAATATTTATTTAACTTCTGTTATATATTTTAAATTAGTCAAATATATAGTCGGATAAAATTTACGTAATTTTTTTAAAATTGTGTACTATTAATATAGGTACACGAGCAACGCGCGTACCATAAGGCTAGTACTATATTAAAAGCACGAAGGCCGTTAGCGAAATATCGTTCCCCCTTTTTATCCTTTAAAAATAAATTTCATATTAGACAAAATCGTAATTTAGTTATTTTTCTAATATTTAATACTTTAAATCAACTTAAATTTTAGTTATTAAACCTTTTCTTATTTGAATTATTGTTCGGAGAAATAAGAGTATTACCTTTTCTTTTGCTTATATTTGCTTACGCCAATTCCTATATGAAATATGTTTGAACTTATAACTCTAAGGGAAGGATTCCATATATTCTTACTATTTAAAAAGAGTCGTATGTACTTAATTACTTTCTAAATATTAAATGTAATTTTTAAATATTATGCAAAAATATCGATGAAGAGGAAAATTTATTGTTCGCATAAGAAAGGAGTTCAAAAAATATCTATATTTTTATACACGAATCTCGAACGCAAAAATAAATAATTATTTTTTTAATTTTTGTTCAATAACTCAAATATATTATTTAATAATATTTATATAATTTTTTAAAATTATATACTCATTAACATTGGGTACACGCGCAAAACACGTATCCTAAAAAAA